TCAGCTATTTAAAGTACAAATGAATCAGAGGAAGGATTTTTAAACTGTTTTCTTGGAAGATTTCCTCTTACTGCTTGTGTCTACGTAGAAAATGATTTAAATTCTTTTAAAATTCTAAGTTACGAAGCAGGCACTCGAAAATATTTTTCATCCATTATCAAGCCAATGATTATCATGATTCCCATGATACAGTAATGGGCTCCACTGATGGTGACGTTCAGTGGTAAGCTTGGCAGTGCCTGTGAGGGATCGTTCTTCCTGCCAGACAAAACCCTGATGGCTGCACTGAGTCCCTGTATCGGGTGCTACATCAGAAGCTGAAGTCCCCATTAAAATACATTACCTCTGTAGTTTGGAGGCACCACAGGAAATTTAATTGAAGCAGTCCAAGTGGTGTTATAAGACATAAAATCAGAGATGTTCCTTATTACATACTTAAAAATATTATCTTCATCAACTCCCTAGCAGTTTTTTTACAATTTTGCCTTGGTTTGAAAAAACAATGTATTTTAGTAGAAATAGATGAAAAACACCCTGGTAACTGGGACAGCTACAGAGATTTTCAATTACCAATCTACAAGTTCACTGACTTTTCATTTATATCTTTCCTCTAAAGATATGGTGATGGTTGTATTATAAGATGAGGCAGATGCATCTTCTGTTTTGGCTTCTCTTCATGTTCTCAGGAATTTGTTGTTCCTTTGGGTGCTTTTGCTGTTGGCTCTCTGCTGTCTTTTTTTTCAATTGTTCCATACTGTGAGAACAATAATACGTGCCACAGTTGCATTCCCCTTATCCCCAGGGCTAGCCACTGTCTTTCACTAAGTATGTACATGTTGTGAACATTTCCTTTTGTTTTGGATATGAATTCATATATATGAGTCTGACACACATGCTCACAAATACAGCGTGGTACATAAAACTGTAACACTGCACTATGACATTATATGGGAATATGAACACATGACAACAACCTTCCCTGTACATTAATAGAAGTTGAAAAAATAGACAAAAGATTGCAACAAGGATGTTTTCAAAATGAATGCTATTGATCTGCATGTGTTTGGTGAATATTTTGGAACAGAAGTTCTACAGTCAGCCAAAGAAACAAAGGACAAAATCTGGAGGATAAAATAAATTTCAGATTTGCAGTGTTGCCAAACCGATGTGGCCAATACAAAACTGAAAATATTTGGGGCTAAATTCAGGGGTTGTGGGAATGAAACCTTGTTGCAGCCCAATCTTGCCACAATTTACTAATGCACTTCAGAGGATGCTTTTCAATTAGCTAAATATCACAGCTGCAGCTCGCGCATCAGGCAGTCGGTGTTAGCTCAGCCGCCATGCTGAGAGGCCAGAGGGCTCTTCTGCAGAAGGGAAAGGAAACCAACACGAGGCTTTAAGGCAAGACAGCTGATTGCCCTTTTTATTTGCTACCATCCTTCCTTCTTTCTGGACATGCAAATAACACCAATTTACATTAAAAATGTATGCAGATGATTTTGACTTCTGTTTATGCCACCATTAAATGTGACCCTTTTGTGATTTACAGTTGCAGTTTTATTCTGGAATTAATGTGGCTGCTTGCAATTATTTATCTTTTTAATTAAAAAAAAAAAAAAAAAAAGACAACTAGGCAGGACAGGCTTCCTGCATTTTTGTCTCGCTGTACAAATGTTTCTACATGGGTTTTGAAGTAAACATCTCACTATGGTGAGTGGGACTGGAAGACAGTGCAGAGCATGTAATTGCACAGTTTGTTATGCTGTTGGAAGACAGGAAGAGGGCAAGGCCTCAGGAAAAAAATTACAGCTTTCCACCTGACTTGCAGAAGAAGAAATCTGTAGAAACACCAAGCTACGGGACAGAGCTCTTTTTCTGTAGGATTACTGTTAGCCTGACTTCTTTTGTAGACACTCAGTACCTATTTTTATTTTACTGTATTTACAGTGTGCAGTTATGATTGTCTTTAAAAAGCTGTGGGGTGTGAAATAGAAATATATATATTTTACATTAAAGAGTTTAGAATTGCTTTTTCGGAGGAATGTCAGGGATGCCAGAGGATGTCAACGTCAGTGAAGCTGCTATGCTAAGAAATCTCTTTTCATTCATTTTCTCTGCCTGTGTGTTTGAAATCTTGATAAAGGTTGAAAGTTTAGAGATGACGGATATAATTATGAATGCAGTGTCTGTTTAGTTAATTGGCAGCACTTTGAATAAAGGTACCATTTATAAATTATTCATAAATACGTATTTAGTGATTAATAGGTGGAGTCTGTTTCTTCAGCTCACTGAAAAGCATATTCAAACTGTTTCAGTAAATTCATAACAGATGCTGCTCTAACAAATTGTTATAAAACACATTATAATGTGTAGATATAACTAAAGCAATATACATCATTTCACTGTTATTCAGTGTCATTGTTTTCTTATATCATTTCTCACATCAGTGTCACGCTGAATAAAGTAGGTGTTTTTTTTTCTTTTCTTATGAATAGTATGGGGAATGAATCCATATTCCTTTTGTGAAATGCCAGCTCCATTAAAATCAGCAGTGAAACTTCAATTATCATCACTGCATTCAATAGCAAGATTCAGATTTCATTGTTGTCCATTGGAATGAGAACCTCAATCCCCTTTCTTATTGTTCCTCCATCAACGGGGCTGATGGTGGACAAGATTTTCTGCTATTGTCTATGTCTGTCCTTTGTCTTACAGTCACTCAGGTGTTTTCTCTTGAGGGGTTTGAGTCCCACAGATCCACGCACTGTGCTTCTGCAGTATCCCACTGAGTTATTCAAAGGGTAGATGAGCACATGTATGGATAAGAGCAAATCTGAGGTCTTGGTGTGAGAAGCATCACTACTGTGGCTATCATCTGTCTGAATGCACTGAGAATCCAGAAGCCAGTGTTTGCTAACTGGAATTATTTTCATGGGAATCTTCAGTTATCAAGAGTACTGAATAACCTGCTACGCTCTGAGAATACGACAATGTTGTGGTTCAAATAGTTATTCCATGTCCATAGGATGGTCTATTGTATTTGATTTTCTAGAGAGTTCCACAGGTTATTGACATACTTATAGAATTTAGGAAGACTGAATGTCAGTATTCACAGAAGCAACAATCTCGGTGATCAGAACATTATACAGTGTGATGCAAAATTCCAGCTGCCTGCAGAAAAATGAATGTGGGGAAAAGATTACGACTCACCTTCATACCAAAAGCACGGGCTCTTGATGTGGTCTGGGGATGGTTGCTCTTCTGAGGATGCAGGATCACTAACTAACGTATAGCCCTGCTGCTGGCACTGCCGCAATTGCTGTGAACAAAGTCACGTTCTCAGTGTTCAATCAAAAAGGCTTTTTACCCAAGAACACTCTTCCAGAACATCCTCTGTGAGAATTACTGTACGTTGAGTGATATTTTCCCAGAATTTCTCTTCCTAGAATTCAAAGGCATTGCAGACTTGCTAAACCTGTCATTAGAAGCAAACTCCTTGAGTTACAAACACCTACCAGAAGGCAGCTCATGCTGGAGCAACAAGTGTAAAATTTGCAAAAATGTTTCCATAACCACTTCTAATAAATAGTTCTTACAACACAACCATCAAAATTCATGGGTTCTCTCTTGCTCTCTCTGTCTATCTCAGACTGCATCATATTTCATCCAGTGCAACCAGATGTCCTCAGGGAAACTGAGAATGAAAATAAACAACCCCTGTGCATTCAAATGTATTCGCCCAGCCAATTGCTGAGAAAAAAAGAAAAAAAAACCGAAACGATATTTCTCCCAGGACAACCACTCCCTTTCCATTTTCCCTTACAAATCCTTAGGGAAGATGTACAAAATACCTTCTAGCGCCTATGCTAGGAGAATAATTCACACCTATTGGATATTAAAACAAGGAAATCAACAGTGCTTCTATTACACATTATAATTCTGCTTTCTTTAATTTCTTGTATTCCAGAGGCAACAATTTCCTGACTGTTTGTTGTGCCATTCACAGAAGTCCAGATCATCTTGATTTAGGCCCTTCAGTGAATACCTGACATCTCTTCTCAAGAGATGACTTAGTTGAATATGAACAATTTTTCTCAGCCATGTTTAGTTTGAAAGGAACTTCTCCTATACCAATACTAAAGATCTTCTTTTTTCTTTCTTTTTTTTCCTCCTAATCATATTCCCTGTTCTAATAAAACTTTCCTTGCAGACCTTTTTTGACTTCTATCCCCACAAAGTCCCAACAACAGCAGCAATAATGTTACGTCCAGAGAAAGAGAACAGTGACCCTTTTTCACTTTTATGGCACCTTGCATATATGTGTGTATATATATATATACGCACATAGTGCAGTGTCCCAGTACAAACACAGACATTTCTCTTTGTCTAGATCTCACATCTGAAAAGTGCTAGATTTGTTTTTATGAGTGCCTTGATATGGCATATGGTCAAATGCAAGTCGTTTTCAACTGTTAGTGAAAAATCTGTATTTGGTTTAGAAACAGGAAGAGAGTGCCCAACAAATGGCTGAAGCTGTATGTTTGGGTGGTATAGCAATGCTCTTCTCCAAGTGCTGCAGTGACTATCTAAAAACCTTAGGTTATCTGTGCTATGACTCAGCATCTGTATTTCAGAATATTTAATTTCCAGCCTCCATGAGGTTTTATTTTTCAGTGATTTCCAGTGCTCTGTTTACAAGTAAAAAAGATATATTTTTTTCCCATCTAAAGTTAATAAGAGATTTGAAGCAAATTGTATTCTCTTCTTACATCATCACCAGGAATAAACTTCTTAATATCTAAACATCACTGTGACTTCCACCTGCACATCGCTGTTACCTTCTGCCTGTGCTGTCAGGTGCTCATCAATGCAGGTGTAGCTGCTTAGGAGTTAGTGCACAAACACATTCACTTGCACCTGGCAGCCTGGTTTGCACCTACCTGTTCCTGGCAGTATTAAGTGGTGCTGGGAGCAGGGCATCATGTAACTCTCCAGGGTTTGGCTGGTGGTGGGTGGTTGAGAGCATCCTGCTTCTGAACAGGCTGGTAGGTGTGTGGAGGGCTTGGGAAGCTCTGGGCAGATTGGCTTGGAATAATGTGTAATGGGGATAGGGATTATGTTGAAAAGAGAGAGGGAAAAGGAGAAATTAATGTTCATAAATGTTTAGGGATGCCTGTGCTGTAGTACTCTAAAATACAAGGATGTTAGGGGGCCCTGAGCTCTTCATTGCTTCTGAGCCCATCTGTGCAAAATGGGACTCCACCTCCACTTTATTTAATGCTGCCCAGACTGCATCTGCTGGAAATACTCAGCTTTGTCTAATCAGAGAACAGAAAAATTATTGTGGTAATACAGAAGACTAAGAATTTCATTGTTGATGGGTGCAAAGGTTTTCTGAGTGCCTCACAATAAGGGCTCAAGAATAATTAAATTTGGGTTATTTGTTAATCATCCATTTTAATTAGGAACTTTTGCTTGTTCTGTCCTCTGCCTGCCTGCAACTCCCAAATGAATAATTGCCATGTATCTCTAGAAGGATATCATAGCAACCAGAACACAGTGAAGGCAATAAATGAGAGAGTCTATAGTCCAGCAGTTTATTTTAACAAACATTCATTAATGAAACTGCAGTTTGATCACAGAGCCTGAATTCATTGCTTGTATTTGAATTTCCCTCCAGCCACTATTGCAACTCTTTATTAAGTGACTCCTGATGAGTAGATGACTTTAACCTCTTTCAGTTTCAACTCCTCACTGCATTATTGTAGACTGTACATTAAACAAGCCCTACACTGACAGGAGTAAACTTAAGCAGTGTAATTTTATTTTGTGATGTCATGGTGATGCTTACAGTTACCAGATACTCTCATGCATTAGCTGAGTTTGACATAATCTAATCTGAAGTGTTAATTTTTCTCTTGTATGGAGCCACAAATGATTTCTAGAAAACTGTAAAATATCCCTGGCAACAAAGAAGTAATGAAAGTCTTTTTCCAGCAGTGAAAGGCACAATTTTTTAATCTCCACTATTCTCTTACCTGCATCCTTTCTCAGAGGAATTGTATCTTTTGATTCATATGCTTCATGGAGCGACAAGCTTGCAGAAATAGTCAGCTAGGTCTGTATTATTTGTGTTAGTTGATCAAACTTCAGAGTAACCTGCCACTTTGAGGTGGTTCTTCTAATTCTTTCACCAGACCAACTGCCAACGAGATATTTTTTATCCCAGTACAAGGTGACTGATAAAAGTGCACTCTATGTGGAACTGATAAGAAATGAATAATCTCCCAGACAAAATATACGGTCTTTGCAAGAGACAGGATAATCACTTCTGTGAAGCAGTAATACTGGGGAATGCAATCGATTGGGAACAAACTTGTGAACCAGCAGTTAGTAGTATAAGAGCTCTTCTACCTTGAACCTACAGGAAGCTGTTAAGAGATGAAGAACGGCATTAGAAAAATATAGGCCTTGACTAGTCTCTTTAGGAGTGTTTCTCAGAAATGTATCTTGCATGCAGCTTTGGAGAATTACTCATAAATTATGTTCAGAGTGAAGAAAAGGGTTAGCTGCCAAGTAGGTGTCAAGTATGTTCGGTGAAATGCTTTAAGCTATGTTCCCAGTATTATAAAGGATCTCCTGTGTTTACGTGTAAGAACACTGTAAAAGCATGATGCCAGAGCCCAGGTGGGACAAGTGTGGAATTGTACCCGGGCAGTGAGGGAGAAGCTTTAGGAAACTTGTCTACCACTCTGCTAAGGAAAAAAGCTGGTAGTATTAGCTTTTTTGGAGCAACCAGCTAGAGCTGGGGTGTAGTGGCTGTTGGTTGTCTTCTGTTGTGGTACTCAACCACCTGACTAGAACACTAGGGCTAGGTGATACTGTTCTGCAAGGTACCAAAAGCAATGCTTAGGAAAGTCTTTCTTTTGAAGAGGTTTTTTTGGAGGAAGAAAGAGAAGGTACTGATTTTTGCTGTGGTTGGTGTGAGGTGTTCTATTTCATCACTTCCTGGTTTGCAAAGAAATGTCACGGGATCCTTTCCAGCTAGATTTGTTGTTCCTTCTTGCTCCTACCTGCACTCATCTTTGTTTGAAGAGCTGCACGTTGTTTGCTTTCACCTTTTGCTTCTCCACTCAAAAACTCTTGTTTCTTGTACTCTTAGACAGATAGGCTTTTATTCTCTTCATTGCCTCTTTGTGTTTAGTTCTACCTTTATTTTCCTCATTTCTTCCTTACCTGTGATTTTTGCCAGCCTTATTTTTATACTCCTATTTTTTATTCTCTCTTCTTGCCCTTAGTTGGTAAAACTACCATCTGACTTTTCTTTTGTGTGATGTGACTTTTTTCCTCAATTCTGATGTTCTGCAGTGTGTGAAATGCACTGAACTGTAGAGTTGCCAAGAAGCATCACACAATGAGAAGAGATAAAAGTATTGAACTATGAGAGTGTACTTACGCTCTGTGTGCTGGCACACAGACAGGACAGGCTCCCTGCAGTACACCTGTATTTATGCTGCAGAAATTTTAAGACTAATTGTGACATATGCTGCTCATTCACTTTTGCTTCCTTGAGCTTAAGATATAATTCCACCGGGGAGAGATGCCCTTTCTGTGAATAACCTCGTGCTATATGTGTAGCCTTTTCCTTTCTGAACATCTTTATCGTCTGTAGGGCAGCTCCTGAAAAGTGAAGTAGTGAACTTGAACAATATAACATACCAGCTTTGTGAGCAAATCTAATAACACAAAAGCTTCTAGTAGTTCTTGTGTTCTAGAACTTGGCTTTAGTCAAATACACATCTTAGCAATAATACACTTGCAGATATTTATCCTCATCAGAGACGGCCTCTGTTTGAGCACCATTTACATAAATACATCCAAAATGTTTTTTTAAATTTTCATACAGGCTCTGTCCATCCCTATTACATTGCTGTGATTACACTCCACTGCTTGCTTTCTGATCAATTTAGAAGCAGCACTACTCTGCAGTCAAAGCATTGGCGTTATTCTGAAAATGTCAGTAACTTCTATTTACTGAAAAATGGGCAGGGTGTTCTGCAGTCAGAACACTTTTGTGCGATTTAAAGAAAAATAGTAGTACTGCATATGTTGCATAAAAACAGTTTTATTGCATTTGTATTGCCTTAAAGGCACAAGAAAAGTTTTTAAAAGGATAGTGATTAATGTACAATAAAGAAGGACAGGAAATAAGATTTATTGCATGGTTCACTTATTCCTCTTAGCTTCTTTCTATAGGAAAGCAGTTCCTAAATGCGTGAAGGAAACTAGTAGTGTTTTTTTTTTTTTTTTTAATGTATGAAAAACAGGCATTTTTAAAATAGATATTTTCTATAAAATGATTGGGAATATGCACTTACAAATAACTCCCATTTACTTGGGAAAAAAGCAGCTCATTTATAATGGCTTATACTTGCAGGAGTTGAACTCGGGCAAGTCAGTCTCCCAGTTCTCCCTGAAGAGTGCAGCAGAAAATACTTGGTTTAGACACAACCAATACTTAACCAAAGTTGATCACCTAGCCATTTTTCCCTTCCTTCCTTCCATCCCCTTCTGATATGCAGTACCTAAGGGCTAGTTCTCTTCAACAGAATTGAAGGCATGAGTTAAGATTTCTTGTGGCTGATATTGAGGCAATGCAATACTTGTACTGCACAGTGATTTATGCCATACTGTTTCCAAATGTTAAATCACAGCCGTTGCTTCTTTTCTTCGCTGTTCAGGTTCTCCTTTGGATCTTACAGATGTTTTGTGATTATCTATTGTTTAAAGGAACAGGGCTTGTGAGTGGATTAAAAACTCACTGTTATCTACAAATGAAGCATACTCCTACAAGGTAACTTTCTTAATATAAAGGTTCATCAGCAAGCATGCCATCACTCTGGTCCTTCTTGGTTTCCATTTGTGTGTTCATCATGGATATGGGCAGTCAAACAGGTGTTCTTGTTTCCAGAAGAAAATGTGCTCTATTCTGGCTTAATAGCTCCTGTCTTGTTTATGAAAGTCTGTTGGGAAAGAGGAATTTACATTAATGGGTAAAGTAGCTATATCAGACCTTAGGATATGAACTCCACAAACAACAATAATCATTTCAGCTGGCTAAAGTGTCTGAAGAAGCTGAAACTTGTCTACCAGGTTCTGAAATAACAGAATGCTAATGTGCAAGGAGCTTCCTACAAGTTTTTCTTTGGAAGTACATACCCTGGGACCGTATCTATTCTTTAGACTGTATTAGCTTGGAACATAAGCTGGGTAGGTGTTAAGGGGAAAAAAAAAAAAAAAAACAACCACAACAACAGACTGTATTATAAAGCAAGACGTACGCTGTTTGAATGCATCAATAATTCCCTTTTTCGTCTGTTTTTTACAGGAGAGCTGAAAAGGATGCAAATCTATTCTACAATTTAAACTTGAACTGTTTATGACAGATGTATATTAATATAAAATTCTTTTCTTAATGCACACATGGGCGAAGCAGATTGCACAGAAATTACTGGGCTAATTAAAATTGAGCGAATGTTTTAATTTCTGTTAAATACAACAGCATATTTTCTACCTGCATCAGCTCTATGCCTTATTCTTTTTGAGATATTGGAAAGCAAGTAAAATAGTTGACTGCATTACATCAAAAGAACTGATTTTTTGTTTCCCAGCCCTTTAATGTATTTTTCTGTTAGAATGCATCCTGTTCAATCAAAATGGTCTTGTCCTAACTATTGCTTTGTGTCTTTCTACATAGAAATTCACTTTCTTATATGCACATGCATGATAATAATTTGAGGTTAATGACAACCCTGAGAAACAATTTTAATTTCTAATGCTTAGAAATGAACAAGTTGGTTTGAATAATGAATCATTACCTGTCAACTTCAGACTTTTATGCAGAATGTGAATACTTTGCTTTCTTCGTGTTCTTCCTTGGGATCAAGTGGACTAGGCATTCAGTCTTGTGAAGTGTAAGCTTCTCTTTCACAAACTGCAGTATAAATGAAAACAAATTCTCCTCTTAGTGTCTTTTTGTCTTGCTACTTGTAGCATCTAGTACTGAATTAATATCATGCTCACAACATCTATTGATTTCCAGGAATAATGTATCAGATATCCAGTTATATGTGCTATCATCTGTCTTCTTATGAATTGATTCTATTTGCTCATCTTTCCAATTTGTCCAGTGTCTTTATTTGCATTAATATTGCCCCTGCAGCCTGCCATATTTTCTGTCTTCCTCCGTAATAGCAATGTAATTCATAGTTTTTTCAATATTTATTGCTAATAATAATTACCTGGGTCCTGTTCTGCATGTGGGAGGTTTCCAGCTCTTGTTAGTGACTTTTCAGGGACTGTGAATCATATTGTTAGTGTTGAATATATATGGACGTATTGGAATTATATTAACATGAACTTCCTTCTTATGAGAAACAAGATCTTTTGAGTAACTACTGTAGCAGGGATGTAAATTCAGTTTAAAGAGTTTGTTTAGCTTGCTTGGGTTGAATGCTTGCCTGTTAGATAACAGTTTGATATTTTCTTCGCCAGAGCTGTGACTTCCTTTGCTGTTACTCCTCTTTTTCCTCTTCTTCTTCCTTACTTCTTACTGTACTCTTCCCTTCCAAAAGATATTGTAAGCTTTCCTGCTGTGTTGATGATCATGTCAGAACATCCCTGGCTTGTTTCTAACTTGCCATCAAATTTTGCAATACTTGACTTTTCCTTGATCACTATACTGGTTTACATCTAATGCCCATGGCTTCAGGGAAGGGGTCGAGTACTTAAGGAAGTTGTGGTGTTTGGTGGTGGGTTTTTTGTTTTTTGTTTTTTTTTTTTTCCTTCATTTCTGTGGGATCCCTTGAGCTTACACACAGAAAAGATGCTTACTGAGCCTTCAATAAAGTTTCATAGTCTTTAGTTTTATGTGGCTTTCTTCAGACTTTCAGCACCGCTGTTAATAGAACGGTTTTCTATTAAGCAGGAAGATGTGTCTTGCTGATCCTCAGGAAATGGAAAAAGACAAACCAAACTGAGATATATTCTATCACTGTCAAAAAACAAACTGAATAGAAATTCCAAGTTGCCATCATAGCTCAGTGTTTCTGTTCAGATGAGAGAGTTTTGTATATTGAACATCCACCTGAAATGTTTCAGTATGAATGCTACCATGTAATGCTAGTGCATGGATGGAAAAGCAGAAACAAGAAGTGGCAGTGAAGGCTGAAATCATGCAGATCCTTGTCTGCACAAACAGGGACTGCTCCTTTAGGGGCTGGGGACTGGGACTTTGGAGGGAACTAAACAGTCCAAATCATAGGGTTTGGGATGTTTTATATGCCTTTTATGAACTTAATTTCCATTTTAATACCGATGCTACATATATATATGAAAAATTATCCACTCCCAACTTCTCTGTGGAACAGTTACCATCTCTAGGAACGCTTTCACAAAGAAACCTTATGAAAGATTTTTCTCATTTTCTATTCTACTGTGCAATGCATCAAATCTCAAGATATTGTGTGTCTGTGGGAGAATGCCATGTGCCTTGCATGATTTTACCAGTCTTATTACTTGGTAGCCTTCTTAAAGCAATAACAACATCAAAGCTCTTTTGGTTGTTCTGTGTTCTGTTATGTGGTGCTTTTCCGTATCCTTTGGTAGTTAAATGAAAAACTTTGAGAGTCTTGAAGGAGCGCTGCTGTTGCAGCACAAACCTGACAAGGAGAGATTAAATTAGGGATTTACCTGGTCCTTTGGTTCAAGAAGTTACTGAAAAGAAAAATGCATAATGATGCCTTTATTTTTTTTCTGTTCTTAATTCATTATTTAGTGCAGGTTTGTAAAATTGTGTTTTTACAAATGAAAGAAAATGAGTAAGAATTCAAGTATGACAGTTTATATCAATAACCCCTATTTTTCAGTTAATTCTAACTAAATTAACTCTAGCAACAGTCAAGGTGAGAATCTGAAAAGCTAGAAGCAACTACCTGTCAATCTTGTTTCTCTATCGTCCTCAACAGTGTATCCACAGAACCAAAAATCCAGGACTTATTTTTCCTTTATGGCTATTTTTGATCCACTTCTAGTGGACATCGCAGAAGTATGTGGACTTGCACATACTAGAGCTTAGGCACTCAGTTCTCTCTGTGGATTTCATGCATTTATCTGTATTTGGGAGACAGACTAGAAGGTATTAAGCTGTGAGATGAATAATCTGCTTAAACGATAAAGTACTGGTAAGCGGTACTGAAAGCAATGAATGTGTTTCTTTGATGGTCATTTCCTATGTGTCCTGAATAATACTGCTAAGGACTGCAGTCTGGCATTCCAGGCACAGAAGAATTTTCTTCTGTTTTGTAGGGCAATTTTGTCTCATGTGATGTGACAACAGTCGTGTTCAACTGAATGATTATTTCATGCTGACAGCTGAACTAACTATGAAAGAAGACAGTATTGACTGTAGCTTAGGTCATTATTTTAGGTTTCTGTGGGGGTTGCTGCCTGAGGTTTAGTTTTAATTTTTAAAGCTTAATTTATGGTAAAAAATATTCATCCTAAAATAGCTCTTACACAAAGACCTATTAATGGTGGGGGGGGGAAAAATTGGGGGTTGGCTTAAGTAATGGAAGAATTACTGTCCTAGCAAAGTACTCCATTTACAGAAACTTCAGAGGAAAAAACAGTGGTGGTGAATTAAAAGAAAAAGATTAAATTTACCAGTCTTTCTGGATAAGGGAGGTGGGTCAAGATGTAACAGCAAATTAGGGACCATATTATCTGCTGAGACATTAGTGAAGTCCCTTGTAGCTTAATTGAGCTTCACTGGATTCAGCTGAAAGTTTGGCCATACTTGTTTTCTTTCCTCCCGATCTGTTGTAAACTAGGTAAAAATCCACTAAGGTCACTGGTGTTACAAGTGATATCTGAGTAATGATCTAGCAGTACATATGTAAGAGGCAGTGAAGTTACAGGTGGCCCAGAGCACAGCAATGACCTGCCTGGGGACCATTTGTTAAAGAACTGGATGCATTAGACAATATAAACTCAACTAACTAGAAAGTTTCTTTCCAGTTTGTTGGATAAAAATGTGCAAATTTGAAACTTACGCAGAATATCAAATATATAGGTTGTTATATGGTTTCTCGATCTTGTATAAGTATTAAATACTAAACAGTAGCATTGCCACTAGGGATGTTAACAAGCATAGCAGTTTTATGCAGCAGAATAATATTCCTTGTTTCTCAGACCTCCTTTGCTACATTTTTGTATGACTAAGTCTGCAGTTGTGTGCCCTTAAGTATGTTTCAATGATTTGAACAGTGATGAAGGTGCTATTGTAAGGAATATGTGGGAGTATTCATCCACAGGAACATTTAAAAATACATATAAACACACCATCTGGTGCAATGAGGTGTATTTCAAAGACAAAATATTTGCTCTTTAGAAGTATCTCAGAGTTGAGGATAATTTCTTTTCCTTGGTAAAAGCAGTTCAGCAGTTTTTAGAAATAAGCTCTTCGTTTCAAGAAGGTAAAGGAACCCAGTTGGGATATGGATATTTTATAGTTCATTTTTGGAACCTTTTTTTATTAATAAGCAAATCTCTTAAATCATTCTTACCTATTCAAGAACTTGAAAAATAACATCATTAATTTCATACGAATAGAAAAACAGTTGGCTGTGCCTTCCTGAAATTTGATATACAACTACAGAAGCTATGCTAGCTTATATAGGAAAGTTGAGTTGATTATGGTTATGCCCTTTTTAGAGCTTTCTAATGTAGAAGGCTCCGGTCAGGATAGTGTCCGTTCATTGTTTCTGCATATACTACCCATGTATTTTTATTCCAGATTACTAGACAATTTGGATTCCCATATGCAAGTGCTTTTCCTATTCAGAGTTCTGCAAAACATTGTGCATCAAGCTATATGACTACATTTTTCCTAAATTACTGGTAAGAGTTAAGTGAAAAATTTTCTGGAACAATTAAGAATTCTGTTTACTTCAGTAGATGCATCTTTTTAGGCAGCGTGCTGTTGGTTACATAGCAGTCAGGCTGTGATCATTTGGACTTTCTCTAAAGATGTTTTAGGAATGTCAGCATAAGATAACTAGCAGATGTCCTCCAGATTGATGTCATCTTGGATAATGTATCTTTCTTCTCTTTATCATACATGTTAAATTCTGCTCTTTGATCTAACGTGGTGCTCTGCAGCAAACATTAATGATTGCCGCTGTCAGGTAGGACTTTAATGCATTCCAGAGCCTGGATGTCTGATGTGCAAATAATTTGATGCAATAGCGCTTTCTCTCCCCAGCCCTTGCTAGGCAGGCTGCTGTTCTTGATTGTGTGTATTTAGAGACTTTCAGCCCTCCAGTCATATGGATCCTCCCACCTGATTTTGATTAATCTGAATTGTTTAATATCTACTCAGACAAACTTTTAAACATTTTTCCTATTTTTGTATGGGCTTCTGGCACTGTGCTAAAAACAACTGACCACTTTGTATTTACATCTCTGATAAATGGATTCATTGCAGAGCAATATCCACAACATGAGGTGGGCATGTGACTATCAG